CTGACAATTTTCCGCAGCTCCTTCCCCACCGGCCTCGGTGGCTCCCCTGAACCCCCAGGAGGTTAGGCCCCTTTTGTGTCACTGTCTCTCCCTACCCTACACATTCTCCCCACATGATCTTTGCAGTCCCTGGGCTTCAACCATCCCACACTATACTGTTGCCTTTTTATTTTTTGAGACAGTCTTACTCTGTCACCCAGGCTGGAGTACAGTGGTACAATCATAGCTCACTGCAGCCTCAAACTCCTGGGCTCAATCAATCCTCCCACTTCAGCCTCCAGAGTAGCTGAGAATACAGGTTTGTACCACCATGCCTAGCTAATTTCAACTTTTTTTTTTTTTTCGAGATAGGGTCTTACTATGTTGCCCAGGCTGGTCTCGAACTCCGGGCATCAAGTGATCCTCCTGCCTTGGCCTCCCAAAGAGCTGGGATGAAGGCATGCTTCACTGCACCTGCCTGTCTCTCTGCCACCGTTTTAAGCTCCCCTCCATTGATCTGGCTGCCTCCCAGAGGCCCTCACCAGACCCTCAAACTCCACACAGACAAAGCAACATTGCCCTTCACAAACCCACCCCTCCCCATGTCCTTCCATCAGTCAGAGACCCCATGCCCCTGACTGCTTGGGCAAAAGTTCTGTGCATATCCTAGGTCCCTCCCTTCCCCCGCTCCTCACTCAAATGAGTCACTTATCTGATGCTGTCCCCTCAGCTCCACAGTGGTGCACACGGCTGACACCCAACTGTGCAAGGAAGGAGGGCTTTCTCCATCCAGCCCCAAGTCCCTCTGCCCATGCCCTGAGCCATTACCTCCAGAGAACTCATGCACCCGACCCTCCCCGCAGCAACCCTTGAACAATGGCCCAGGAGAGTCGCCCTCCTATCTGCAGGGGGATGGCTCAGATACATGTGCTCTGCACTGGTGCCCTCAGCCCCCAGCAGGCTCGACGCTGTGCCTTTGACTGGCCGCCTTTCTCTCCCTTCTTAGTCTCTCTTCCTCACTCCTAGTTGGGTGTTCTTCGATCATCAAAATAAAGCACTTGCTGTTGTGTCCATCTCAAAGGACTTCCAGGGAAACCCAAACCGAGACGCTCTGGAAATTGTACCAGCAGAGGGTCCTTGATCTACCCACTTTTATCTCCAACATCACAGTTCAGGCCACCACCATCATGTCTCCCAAGAATGACTGCAACAGCAAACATTTTGTGCATATTGTAGGTTACAAAATGGTCTCTTGGCCTTGAGTTTGGCTCTTCTCTGATCCTTTTCCCACACTGCAGATATATGTGTGTGTGTGTGTGTGTGTATGTGTGTGTGTGTGTGTATATATATGGATAGATGGTAGATAGGGTTGATAGGATCTGTAGATAGATGATAAATAAACAGGTAGATGATAGGATTGATAGATGATTGATAAATAGATGATAGATGGATAGATTTAGATAGATAAGATTTATAGATGACAGATGATTGATGGATAGATGGATAGATGATTGACAGATGAATAGACGGATGATAGATGGATGAATAGATTAGATAGATAGATAGATAGATAGATAGATAGATAGATAGATAGGTAAAGAAATAACTAGGGAGGGACAGAGAGAGAGAGAGAAATAATGTGGACATATCTTCTCCCTGCTTAAAATGCCCCAGGCTGCCTGCTGTAGAATCAGCTTCTCCTCCACTGCATAGTGAACTCCATCCCCGTCCTGCCTCCTGCCATCCTCGGCCCCTCCAGCCCTCCTGCCCTCCCATTGCCCTTCCTGCCTCAGCCCATCTGGTCTCCCGGTTATTCCACAAGCACTGTCTGGCTCCTTCTGGCTCTGGGATACACAGGTCCCTCTGCCTGCAAAGCTCTTCACTGGACTCCTCGCCCTTTAGGTCCCAGCTCCGTGGCTTCTCAGAGCGCTGACCTAAAG